TAGAGGTGCGCCCTGGGGAGAATCTGCATCTCCGTGCTTAAGGCCAGCACAACCCTCCGCGTCTTCAAGCCTGTGTGTAAGCCCAGCCCTCTCTCTGCCCGGGGCACCAGCTCTTCACCCACCCCACTACTTGCCTGGACACCCCTGCCAACTCCCCCACATCGTGTGGGGTAGCACTGCTCAGGGTCTGAGGGCGCCTGGCTGGGCAGGACGGGTGTGCTGACACCAAGACTAGGAACTTCCTGGTGTGCATGGCCGTGCAGGGCCCGGGGCTTCCCCGCTTCCCATCCCGCGGGCTGCTGCGGGGCCCCAAGGTGTGGTTTTCGGGCCTGCCATTGTATTCTTCTGCTCTTGTAACTTCTTTTTGGATCTTCCTTAAATTTTATATCTCCCCGTATTTCTCTTGAGTTCATTAAGCATCGTTATGACCGAGACGTTGACGTCTTCATCAGATAGTTTGCTTGTGTTCATTTCTCCACTGTTGTCCAGGTGTTTTTATCTTGCTCTTCCCCTGGGGACATGTTCCTTCTTCCCATTCTGCCTCATTCTCAGTGCTTCCTTCTTGTATCACTAGTGCTGGTCGCTCAGCTTCTCCTGATCTCGAGGGAATGGGCTTGTGTGGGTGCTGCTCTGTGGTACCTGGCTGCCGTGACCATGGAGCGAGGTGTTCCAGGCGCTCCCCTGCCCAGGCTACACCCACCCTCCTGCACTGCCAGGGTCACAGTGGGTGGGCATTGGATGCACAGCTTGGGGGGGGGGCGTGCTGTGGGCCTGTGCCAGCTGCCGCCCGAGCAGTGGGCGGGTTGAGCCCTTGCCCGTGCCCGCTGCTCATGAGCAAGTTGTGGTGTGGCTGTAGTGCTGGCAGTGCTGCTGGGGCTGGGAGGAGCCCTCAGCAGTTCTCTGACCATGTCTTATTGGCTGGGCCAGCCCTGGAGGCCTGGGGTTTCTAAATGACCCCCAGCCAATAGCTTTGGAATTAGCAAGGTTGCAGGAAGTTGCCAAGTTGGCACCCACCAGTGTTTTGGGCCTGGGGGTCATCCCGAAGGCCTGCCTGCCAGCTGGACTCCAGAGTGGAAATGGATTTCCTTCACTGTGATTGCTGCTTTTCCCACCAGTGTTACTGTTGAGGTGCTCTGGCCCTTTAAGGGCGGGTACTCTGTTCCCTCTACTGAAATTCTCCTGGGGTTTCCACCACCCTCAACACCAGAACTCTGGGGGCTCACTCTGCTGTGTAGAATCAAAAAGCTGGAGGTGCCCCAAGTAGGAAACCACCCTCCCCTCCCCAGGGAAAAGTTCCGTACCTGTTTATCTCTGTCTCTCCTGCCCGGCTAGATACTTTCATCCTTGCTGTGGGCTCTCTGGTCTTCCTCCTTGTAAATTATGCCACGGCAGTTGTGGATTTGTTAACCCACGGGTGCACTCAAGTGTCTCCTGTGCCTCCATTTTGACCTAAACTCAGGAGAAACTTCTAATCTACGACTTAATTAATTAGTGGTATAGTTTGTAAAGGAAACTTTTCACCTTTTTCTTAACCAGATTTCAAAATGAAAGGGCTCCATAATATCCTGTAGTCCGCGCCGAGTTTTCTCACTGTGAGCACATGGATCTAAGCGCTTGGGGCATCGCAGTTCTTGCCTTTTTGGTGCTCATGTTGTCTTGTGTTTGCTCAGCGAGTCTCTCCGGGGGTGGGGGAGGGGGGTGCTTCCGTGCAGCCATGGAGGTTTTGCAGGTGTCTTGGAGAGCTGGTGGGAAAGGGTGTTCCAGGTCCTCTTGTGTGTTATTTATAGTTTTGTTGTTCTTTCCTCCCTGATACCTGAAATCAGACAGCTCTACAAGTAAACCTGTTTCCTTTGAATAAAAGGTACTATCTGAGATTACCATCTGGGCACTAGAGGTAGCTTTCGTATTGTTTATTTTAATGTAAATCTTTCTGCCATTTTGGGATTAACCTTGGTGGAAGGTGTGAGGTAGGGATTCACTTTTGTTTATTTCCAGATAGCTACTCATTTCTTCCAAAGCAATACAAAGTCACCTTTATCATACATTCTGCATTCTTTGTCCTTGGCATTTGTGAACTTTCCACTTTTCTAGTCTCTGATTGTTTTTTTTTTTGGTGAAAAGAAATATTTTTGGGCTTGTTCATGTATCCACATGAATTTTAGGGTCAATTGCCCTAGTTCAGAAAAATAATGCTGTTCATATTTTTATTAGAATCAATATCTTGATCATAGTTGAGTTTCTCATCTGAAAATATGAGAAGTTTCTATGTAAGAATTAGGTTTTGTGCATAACAAGCTACCTGCAACTTAGTGACTTAATGTATATTATTTCTTTCTATTGCGTGCCTAAGTTTTACTGTCTGGAAGGCCCAGCTGAGCTGGATGGCCTTGGGAGACAGACATCATGTTGGGGGTCAGGTGCCAGGCCAGGATGATGGTCATCCGTCTGCAGAGGCGAGCAGGCTGTGCAGTGGTGGAGAGGCAGGGCAGGCCCAGGTGAGACTTGGCGCCTTTGTGTATGTTACATTTGCCATTGAAGTTGTTGACCAAAGCAAACACAGGAACAAACCAGAGTCAAGAGGTGGGAAGCTTGCTTTCGATTCTTACTGAGAGCTGTGGCGAAGTCCCACGAAAGGGTGACTTTCTGTCATGGCCTTTTGTGCAAGCAACTTACCATAGTCCCAGTATTTCCAATTTTCTGTGTCTTTGAGGAATGTTTTAAAATTTATTCCAGTCAGCCCTATGCATCTCTTTATCCCTAGATATTTTTCTTTTGCTGATATTATAATTGTATCTGGTCCCTCTTCCCCATTTAAATTTAGAATTCTTGAGCAGGTGCATATGTACATAGCAAAAACTAAAAAGATAGGACAAAGCAAGCCTACTCCTGTATCCCACTCACTTTTGTCTCCCATCTCTAGAGGTGACCATTTTAAAAATGCTTTACTCCACTGGTGTTTCTCTATGGAAGATGCTGGCAAACATGGAGGAAATCCTCTTCTGCTTACGCACCGTGTCTTGCTCTCCCCCTCAACGATACATTAGTCTGTCAGTGCTGCCGTCCTGAAGAAGTGGCACCTAGTGTTTTACTGCCCTATGATGGTGCCAGACCCTGTTAGGCAAGTGGCTCTTGTCAGCAGACACTGGGGTCACCTGCCTCCGCTCCTCTTGCACACAGAGCTATGAGAAGCACTGGCCCGGGGTGGGGGAGGGACTGGGGGGGCTCCAGAATGAACTCCCAGCCTGAGATTCCTGGCCAAGGGATAAATACACTGAGACTGGATGAGCTCACACTCCTCACTTACTGGATTGGTAGAAGTTCCAAAGTTGGGTAACTCATTCTTTCTGTGAAGCCGTAAGAGGGGCGTTGCAACACTGCTGTTGCTGGTAGGGGTCTAGGCAGTACGAGCCCGAGGGAGGGAGGGAGTCTGGCTGCATCTGCCAAGTTAAATTTCTCTATGAAATTGAGCAGTTTTTGCACATGTTTAAGAGTCATTTATATTTTTCTAAGCTCCTGATTCCTCTGCCCATTTTTCTGTTGGGTGGCTGGTCTTTTCTCTTGGATTTAAGCAGCTCTTTTATATTGCTAGAAAGGTTAGCCCTTTGTGACAGGAGCTGCAGATTCTTTTTTTTTTTTTTTTAAGATTTATTTGTGCATACAGAGCTGGGGTACAGGCCAGAAGCTCAGGGGCGGCGACAGGCTTCACCAGAGACAGAGTGGGGAGCAGAACAGGCAGATGGACGAAGTACACTGCTGAGGGGAGCAGCGGGCGGGTCAGGAGAGGTCTGCCGCGCCATGTGTGTCACCTCCGGGGCAGGCGGGGATCGAACTCATGTGGACTTGACTTTAGCTTCTTAGTGCTGCGCTTTACCCCGCTGCGCCAGCAGGGAGGACTTGCAGTTTCTTACAATTAGACTTTTGTATAACTTTTTAGCTCATCATCTTAAAGCAAATTACAGCCAGCCACGCGTCATATAAGTGTTCTCCTTAAAGCCATCCAGACCTGTTCACTGTCAGTCTGTCTGTGGAGGATTTTACACTGCAGGCTGTGACCCCAGGGTGTTTGCTGATGGCCCTTTGGGGGAAAAGAAAACCACCCTGTTTAAAGGAGCCACCTTCGAGTGTTTTGTGTGATGCAGCCATTTGGCTTGGGAAAACCCAAGCAAGCGTGCGCGCGTGAGCTCGAGAAGCAGGGCCGAGCCGCACTGCAGGGTGTCTGTCGTCAAGAGGACCCGCTGCACGGGCCCTGGAAATGGTGATGTTGAGTGCCATGTGACACCATGCCAGGTGTCAAAGCGCCTGTGACCAATGGTTCTTTCTTATGCTTCAAAAGGGGCTTGGGTCTGGTGAGTCTGGGGAGAAGGCTTCTGATAGCCACCCCCGTCTCCAGCGTTTGGCAGCCGACCTCAGCGCAGAGAGACCTTCCTGGACTGTGCCCACAGTGGGGGGTAGGAGGAGCCGCCTGGGGCCAGTGGGGCAGGGGAGGAGCCCTGTGAGCCTGGCTGGCACCTTTCGATTCCGTCTCTCTTTTCAATGTTATTCTTAAAAGTTACTCTGTTTCTTGGGAATTTATATATTTACAGTAAGTTAATTTCTTTTTACACTCCTATTTGTCTTAGAAATTTGCCAGATGGAGGAATTTGGCAAATTCCTTAATTAACAAATTAACACATTTTCAAAGTGTATCTTATTTCGGGTAAGGAAATCAACCTATTTTAGGAAAAACACTTTTAAAGAACACATCAATTTCACCGATAGTGAAAACTTTGCATAAAAATTCCGGTGCTCTGTAGAGTTTCTTCTGCTGGGAGCTCCTCGGCCACGGCCACTCTGGGGGCTGATCCGTCCTCGGGGCCTGTTGCCCTTCCCCAGAGCAGCCGTAGCCGCGTCGGGAAGCCTTGCCCATGGAGCACGCTTACAAAGTGGCTGTGGGAGGGCTCGTTCCTGCTGACACATTCACATGTGTAGTAACTCTTTGCTTCTTCACTCCCAATAGGCTCGGGTTATGTATGATTTCGCTGCTGAACCTGGAAATAATGAGCTGACAGTCAATGAAGGAGAAATCATCACAGTCACCAATCCGGTGAGGGAGCCCTGTTTCAATCTGAAAGATTGTGCTTTTTTTTTTTTTTTTTTAGATTTATTTATTTGTGCATACAGAACTGGGTACATGCCAGAGGTGCAGGGGTGGTGAGAGACCGAGTGGGGAGCGGAACAGGGCGACTGATGAAGTACGCTGCTGAGGGGAGCAGCAGGCGGGTCAGGAGAGGTCTGCCGCTCCCAGTGGGTCACCTCTGGGGCGGGGATCAAACTTATTCGGAAGTGGCTTTAGCTTCTTAGTGCTGTGCCACCAGGGAGGACCCAGATTGTACTTTTTAAGTCAGTCACTCCTTCAAACCCACGTGAATTTCCTATTGCTTATCAAGTATTGATGGTGGAATAAGAATCTCACGTGCATATGAGAAATTGAAGCCCCCAAAAGATGGCTGGATGAGGCTCCACCTGCCAGGAATGGGAGACAATGTCCTAGCAGAACTGAGGTGCAGAGACACAAGGTGTGTCTGAGGCCTTGGCCAACATGCGCTGGCACTGTGCATGGAGCCTGGGGAGCGCTCTGCCCTGTTCTTGCTGTATTCCACCACCCCCCTCACCCCCGCCCCCAGTCTCAGAAAGCAGGTGCTTTTAATGCCTATTTTACAAGTGAGGGTAATGAGACTTGGGGAAGTAAAGTAACCTGCCCAACATCATTCTGCTGGCCACTGACAGACCAGGGTTCAGAGTCACATCTGTTTGGCCTCTAACTCTGCATTTTCATTTCTCCTGGGGACACAGCATGAAAACAAGTGTCCCATGAGCCTGGGGTAGGTCTCTGTAGTGGAGACAGGCTAAGAAAGCTGACTCGGAGAGCTGGGCACAGGACCGAGGGCCAGGCAATGGCGCAGTCATTTAAGGTTCTGCCCGGCTGTTTGGGGCACTGGCATGCTGGGGCCTGCGCTTCCAGGGAGCTTATCCGGCAGAAGCTGTGGCGTGAATTGGCGCGCTGGGTCTGGAGACATGACCACCGGAGGGACTAGTAGGAGTTGAAGATGGATGCAGAAACCTTTGTGGAATTAGAGCCAGGGCTAGGGCTTGATTAGATAGTCTTGGTGGGAAGGTAGCAAAGGTCACTGAAGGTTTTGGCCTTTGCACCCAAGAGAATGGTGGATTGATTAAGATAGGTCAGGAGAGCTTCTCGGGAAAGATAAAGTAAGCTTGTTTTTAGGTATGTAGCCTTTAACGAATTGCAAATAATTAACTCTACCTGTAGTTTTTGCATCAGTTTTTAAAGGAAGGGCAGAGCTGAAGACAGGGCCTGAGACAGGCCTGCTCGCTGGTCACCTCAAGAGTAATGAGCGTGTGAAGAGCGTTATGGGGGGTGGAGAGACAGCAGGATAAGGAAGCAGCCAGTCCAGGCCAGTGTTCCCGCAGCTGGGGCAGAGGTGCAGAGCCCAGAGGTCACGGGAGGTGGAGCGATGTCACCTCGGTGCTCCTTAATTGTGATGATATTTTAAAAACCGGTTTTATATGTACTAGATACACAAAGAATTCCTGGGTAGAAAGTGTTATGTAAAAAAATAGCAAAGAAAAAGTGCATGGCATTTTGGGTACTCTGCCAACTAGATTTTATTTTTAATCACAGGAAAGATTAAAGATTCTTTTATCTTCTCATCTACCTTTTAGATGAAACATCATTTTTTATTTAGTAATTTGTCTTTAAGTTGCTGTTGTGATTAAAAAAATGGGCAGAGATGTGGCTTAAAGTGATTTTTGAAGAGAGCATGTTGTCCATATGAAAGTAGTCACCAGCTAAGTAGGCATGGTTTGCACCGACAACGCTTGCTGTTTCGGGAGGGGAAACATGGGACGAGGCTGAGACAGTAGACTGAAAAATGGGCCCTGGAGAGCAGTGCTTTATCGCTTCAGTTGTTAGCAGTCCATCCAGGGAGAACGAGGACCGCGCAGCCGTCGGTCTCTTTTATTCCCTGTATGACAGACAGAGGTCAAATGAAACAGCCGTTGTCCACGCTCAGGAGTCTGCAGGCCAGCAGGGCCGACCTAGGCGCTCGGTGTCCCCACCTCCGGCCAACCAGGGCTAAGGGGCCCCGTGGCCTCGCTCACCTGTGTGCTCTGCTGGCGTGGGCTGGCCTTGCGAGGGTTTCAGGGGGGGCTGCGCCTCGCCTGTCGTCGAGGCACCCAGCGGCCCTCCGCGTAGCAGCTCTACTGGAAAAAGGGTGAGCTGAGGTGTGCAGAGGCCCCAGGCCTGCTTTGCGCTCACGAGTCCCTGCACGGCATCCTGAGGGCTGAGAGGCCATGGGTCGGGCGGGCTCTGGCGTGGGTCCCACGGGTGAGGACCCGGCCGCACCCCATGCCGGCACCCACAGCAGTGTGTCCGTGCAAAATGAAGCCTCCAGCGGGCTGTTTTTCCACCTTTGATCACTTATTGTTGATTTTTGTTTTTTCTTGATTTTTAGATACCATTTTCTGGAGTAAAAAGGTGTAAAATTTTTTAATTTTTAATTTAATTTTTAATTTAATTTTAAGTATTATTTCTATTGTGGGGGAGGGGGAGCTCAACAATTGTATAACAATTCCCAAAGCAAAATTTCTGTGGGATTTTCGTCTCTGATCTTTTCCCTTTTTTCAAAACTTCTTAGGACGTTGGTGGGGGGTGGCTGGAAGGAAGAAACAGCAGGGGAGAGAGAGGACTTGTGCCCACGGACTATGTTCAGGTGAGAGCTGTCATGTACTTCTTAATGTTTTAATGTAAAGATTTGTTTATTTAGACATCCAGGAGCTGGGGTGCAGGCCAAAGGTGCAGGGGTTCTGGGGGGCTGAGAGGATTCACCAGAGACAGAGTGGGGAGCAGGACAGGTGGTGTGACTGAAATCCACTGCTTGGGGGGAGCAGCAGGGAGGGAGGTAGGCGGTCTGCTGTGCATATGTGGGTCACCCCCTGGCCAGGGCTCAAACTGCTGCAGGTGCTGTGATGGCTTCGCAGCGCCAAGACTTAACCCCTATGCCACCAGGGAGGCCCAGAGCTGTTATTTGTTAACGCTGGTCTTTGTCAAACACTTTTTCATTAATTATCAGCTTCCAAGGGCAAAGTGGAAAATGGCAACTTTAAAAAAAAATTTCCATGATAAAAGTAATACATGCTAGTTGCAGAAAATGTATTTAAGTAGAACTAAGAACTAACAGATATTGTGAAGGCCCACGCTCCAAGAAAGACATCAGATAATGAAATGAGCAACTTCTAATTACTCTGCATGAGAGCCCCTATTTCCCCTTCACTCACACTGTCTGATAAGTATTAACTGCGTAGCATCACACTAACAGAAGTCAGAGAGATCCTTTGACTGGCCTTCCTCCTCGGGGCTGACCAAGGCAAGTGCCCCCTGCCCCCGGTACTCAGGTTCTTGGTTGGATTGAGCTGTGTTCTCTGGCACGGCTGCCAGCTCCCCGCTGGGACACACAGCAGACAAAGCCTCCTGGCGCTCCCCCGTGGTGGTTTACGTTCACTCAAAATGGGGTACTGGACGCCCGGCTTATCCTTCTCTCCTGATAGAAAGGAACAAAGGTTGTCCAGAAAACAGCAGCAGCAGCAACAAACTAAGGTGACCCAGAGCCTAGTTGTTGGAGGAGATGGAGAATGATAAAGGCATATTCATGTCCTGGGGTGGGGTGGGGGCCTCTCTGTTGTTCCTGATTAAAGTGGGGTGGGGGCTTTGAGCCCCTGGAGAACCCTCCAGTAGACAGTAGACAGTCCTCAGAAACGGCCGCACCACCTTCTCCAACCCAGAGGCTCACAGACCCCAAGCCCCAGACGGGACCAGGCCTGTGTCTTCAGATAATGTGTGCTCAGGATTCTAACATTGACAAGAAGGAGACAAACTGGGAGCCTTAAGTAAAACTGGCACTGCACATGTAGAGAAGAGTGGTCAGGACGGATGTCGCTGATTGGCCTCCCGTTTAAACTGCAACACCCCGTCCCTGGCAGATCGCGGTTCTCGCCTGTCCGTAGCTGATCTGAAATAACACCTGTCGGAGCACATAACTGTGGTTCCTTCCTCCCTCAGGTTTTGCCCAATGATGGAAAAGATCAGTTTTCGTGTGGAAACTCAGTGGCCGACCAAGCTTTCCTGGATTCCCTCTCAGCAAGTACGGCTCAGGCCAGTTCGTCAGCTGCGGGCAGTAATAACCAGGTCAGTGTGGCCCATCCCGCGGGAGGGCTGCGTGTCCCGGCCAGCTGCGTGGCGGGAGCTTGCGGTGTGGGTTAGCTGCTGCCGCTCCCCAGGCGCCGGCAGAGGCACTGGCAGCTGTTGCTTGGCATTCCCGGGCATTAACAGTGGACTCGCCTGTCCAGCCTGCTAGTGATGGTGGCCACGGTGGGTCATAAGCCAGAAGGCGGAGTGAACACGGTCCCCAGAGGTCGGTGCCTCAGACTGGTGAGGATGGAGATGGGCCTGCTGCTGAGGCTGGTGGTCATGCTGGAAGGACACGGTGTCCAAGCCCGGCAGACGCCCCTGGGCTGGGCCGCCTGGTCCAGGAGAGGCAGCTGTGCCACTCCTGGGGTGCCTGCTGCGTCCTCCCAGGAAATGTGGAACAGTGGGGTCATTTGAAGAAATACTTGACATTTTGCAGTAACTGATGGCAGCTGAGCTGGGTTGGGTGACGGAGCAAGTCAGGTCATGCTCGGTGGCTGTCCAGCGTTCAGGATCAGCAGCAAGAGTGAGAAGACAGCAGAGGCCACTGCTGCTGTCTGCAGGCGCAGAGGCTGCTGTTTCTTGATAAGTTACATTTTTTACTCTGGAGCCCGTTAAACGTTATATGAAGCCTGGTGTCACACCACTCTGACTGTTGGCTTACGGGATGATTATGTCTTCACTGTCCAAGAGCGCTGGTCATCTGTGAGGTCTTGTACATTTTAAACAACCTGTTGTGTCCGGCACGTGTGGACTCAGGCAGTGCTGTCATCACGATGAGCATCCCTACGGCTTGCCACTTGCCTGCCTGGTCCAGGAAGTGACGCGCTCGGGAAGAGAGGTGAAGAAGTGGAGCCGGACCCTGCTCGCTGTCGGCGAGTCTCAGCCTGAGCCCTCTCCTCTGTGGCCCGGCCGGCCCTGCCCGCTAGGGGGCTGCTCCATGGTTGCAGGGGTGGAGTCGGCCCTGGCCCCAGGGCCCTGCGGTTGAAGGCTCAGATGTCCGGGGAGCAAAACCAGCCCAGGTCGCTAGCAGACATCATGGAGGAGGAGTCGGGCTTGGCCTCAGCAAGAAGGAGTGAAATAAGGAAAGGCAACAAAGGATGGAAATCTCATTTTACTTGAACCCCAGTTCCGGCCCGCAGTTACCGCGGGACAGCAGAAGCCGGGGCTGGGCAGGCCCTCCCTGCTGAAGCCCATCCTGGCGCTGAGTGTGCTGAGTGCACAGTGTGGGGCTGAGTCTTCTTGGGGCTAATGAGGAGATCATATGAGAAGATCACATGATCCACTTTAAGTTGGCTGTCACTAACTCAGCCTTTGAAAGCAAAGAAAAAATGAACAGAACTTGGAAGCAGCAAAATATAATAATGGTTCGAGCTTACTTTTCAGTGGCCATCTATGCTGTCTGTTATCCGGGACGCAGGACAGGCCTAACTAGGCCAAAATTGGGATTCGAGAGACACCACGAAGATGTGGTCAGGACCCAGAGGGCCACGATTGGGGCAGCTTTGCGCCGGCTCGCAGGCCGGCCCCTTCTCTGTCTGTGAGTGTCAGTAACAGTCCTGCTTTGCCCGGGCTCTGCCTGCTGGGCGTCTCTGACTCTTCAGGCAACTCGTCCCCCAGGACACTGTTGTTTGAGGGCACACTTGCCAGAGGGGCCGCGTCTCACCTGTCAGGCACACTGGGCGCGTCCGCCCCCCGCTCCCCCCACCAAGGCAGTCCCCATGTCATGACTGACAGGGCTCCTCCCTACCGTTTGACCCCGCCCCACCCCGCCGAATGTCTCCGATTTGCGGTTGCTGCTCGTTTGGGCTCTTCTCTCCCTGCTCCGCTGCTCGGGCTCCCCGTGTTCTTCCTGTGAATAAGCCATCTGATAATTTCCTTTTTCTTCTGACTTGTCTCACTGAGCATGATCCCTTCCAGCTCCATTCCTGTTGCTGCAGATGACATGACTTTATCCTTTTTGATTGCTGAGTAGCCTTCCACTGTGTTTGCACGCCACGTCTTCTTGGTCCACTCATCTGCTTTGGCGCATCTAGGCTGCCTCCATATCCTAGCTGCAGTGAACACAGGAAGGCAGATTTCTTTTAGCATTAGTGTTCTTGTGTCCCTGGGGTAGACTCCCAGGAGTGGCCTTGCTGGGTCGTTTGGTGGCTCCGTGTCTGAGGGTCTTCGCACAGCTCTCCTCAGCGGCTGCGTCAGAGTGCATCAGCACCGGCAGGGCAGCGGCTCCTTTCTTGCCGCATCCTGGCCAGCATTTGTTGTTAGAATTTTTAATGGGGGGCATTCTTACTGACGTCAGGTGTACCTCACCTGGTTTTGGTTTGCATTCCCCTGATTATAAGTGATGTTGAGCTTTTTTTCATGGGCCTGTTGGCCAACTGCAGTTCCTGGAAGAGTCATTTTTAATGACTAATATTTGTTTCATTATTAGTATTTATCAGGTATTTCATAATTTCGGGAACATTTCATGTCCGTGACGAGGCAGCCAGCATAAATCTGTCAGCTGAAGGAACCTCAGAAGTCACTAGAGAACACCTGCTGGTAGTTGCCCTAATTTGCTTTTACCCACTTGGAGTATTTAAATTGCATCGTTGCCTTGATTCTTAAAAAGGTTGTCAGGAGAGAATTTTAAGAAAAACTCACAGATAATGCCTCATTGGATATTCCCTTTAAAGAAATTAATTGAGAGTTTTTGCTTGTACATTTTAAAGAGAATATGGGATTGAACTTATATTACAAAGCTACGTGTTTTGTCTGAAAGCCTCTCACTCCATTTTATTTTATCTTCTTTAAACACTGGGAGAGAGGCACGTTCAGAATGAACTGCTGCTCTTCCTGCTGACATTCTTGCTGCTTGTTATCACACTACACCCCTCCTCTCGACTCTGGCTCGCTCTGTGCAGCTTCTCACCCCCAGCGTGTTAGCGTCACGGAGAGGACGGAAGCTGCGGGTCAGCCCCAGCTTGCCAGCCTGGCTGTGCTGCCGAAGGCTGATGGGGCGGCCCGTGTGAAGGGCCAGACGCCCAGGGGCCTTAACAAAGGCCCCTTCTCCTCCCCTGTTCACTGCCGGGGCTGTCCTCAGTCCCTTTGTGGTCCAGCCTCTCCCTTTCGATCCTCTGCAGCCATGTAGATTATTTCCTCACAGACCCCTCTCGTCATGGGTGTTCTCTCGGCTTGCTCTCGGCCCCGCCTACCCCTCACCCTCTGAAGCTCTTGTGTGTGTTTCCCTGGGATGTCCCTCCTTCACCCCCTTGCCGTTCCTGCCAGGACCCTGACTGGGCAAGGGAGGGGCCCAACAGGGCTGCGCTGACCCAGGCCTCTGCCGGTTTCCAGCCCCGGTGGGGAGCTCCCTCCTGCCCCGGCCGCTCTTGGGTTGCCTCACACACTGCTGCCCTGAACGAGCCACCAAGTGTGTTGGCTCTGTCAGAGGCGGGAGGGGTCCCCAGCTGTCCCACGCAGCGCCTCGTGGAGAGCAGCTCCGGCTGCGGCCCTGTGCCCGCTAGGCCACCTGCCCCGCCTGGCCGGGGGCATCTTTAGGCCTCCCGAGCCTTTTAGAGATGCTGCTGGTGAATGGTTAGGGTGCTTTGTTGTTTGTTTTTGCCCAACCGGAATTAAGTGATCAAAACGAAGGGTTTTTTTGTGTTTCTACCTTAAAGGTGCGACCTGAGGGCCCCTTCAAGGCCCAGCTTGAAGGCCCTTTTTAGATTTCTCTGGAAGCAAATTCTGGCATCAAACTGTTTGATATTTTAAGACTTAGTTTTACCACAATAAAGGAACTCTTTAAGCTAATGTAGGCAGTACCCATTTTTAAAGGCAAATGTTATTCTTTTAATATTCTTAATATACGAAATAAATACTTGGAATTGGCATCTGTCTGTGAGTTGAGAATGTGAACTAACAATAGATTTGTTAGACTGTTTGGAACTAATTGACTGCAAACTGTTCATGTAAGCTAGCTTTATTTTAGAAGGAGGGATATGTTTTGTGTTTCTACCTATGGCTCTCTGAAGTAGAATTGGGTACTGTCCTCTGAGCAAAATATCTTAGAAAATAAGAACATTTACAAATTCTCCTGTATTTTCAACTGGCACAGTTAGAATTTTTACAAAGAATTGTATGCTCTCTGTAGGCCCTTTTGAGAAAAGGAGTTAAATCTTTGTCTGAAACTGGTTGAAAATATTCTTGGGTATGGAAGTCACTATTTGCTTTCTGTTCCCCTCCTAACATCGTTGGCACATGGTTATTAAGTGTTTGGTGAATGAGAAATGTCAGATAAAGGCCTTCTTTGGTGTCTAGTGGTGCAGATGAATTGCTAGAAAAAAATAATCATCCCCATAATAAACTCAGCCTTTACAAAAGAGCTAATTTTCCATTTATTTGTGCCTTTCCCTCAAGTTTCTGTTTACGGAATCCTGTTTTCCTAGCAGGAGACCACTGTTAGCTGTAGGGGCGTGATGCACCCGGTTAAATGACAACAAAACGAACAGCTAGAGAAGGTGACTAAGACACAGCCAGAATTTCCTCACAGGGCGATAGAGGCAGGCCCTCGAATGCTTACAGGGCCCGGGCCCCCGAGGTAATATGGCCACAGCAGGTAGTGAGCCCGGTTAGGGAGTCCTCTCCCCGTGTTTAGCACCAGGGCCCACAGTGGGCTTGGGGACGGCCTCTGGAAGGAGCCAGGTGGGCACAGCCTCCGCTTACCGCGATCTTCTGGGCATCTTTGTACTTTGTTTGCTGGCTTGCCAGGAAGCCCCTGCATGAAATAGTTCTCAAGCCCGGATCACCCACTGAGGCCCCGCGGGGTCTCCTTGTTGCCCAGGCCGGTCATCCTCCTGATCTGTGCAGTGAAAGCTGTTCTTGGGCGTAAGAACACACACCTGGTCTCCCACGACCCTTGATGGCAGCAGCGCTGTCCAGACGAGCTCCCTGCGTTTCCTGTTGCTACTTGTTGCCAGACTATGAACTTAGGTCTTACATATTCAGGTCCCCCATGAATGTCACCTAAGAAGCAGAATTCAACAAAAACCCAAACCCTAACAAGACCAGAGGCTGTCGTCTTTCTGCTCAGCAGTAGCAGACTCTGTTCTTACTTTCTTTAAAAAGAATTTAAAAAATTAAAAAAGAATTAATTAAAGAATTTTAAAAAAAGCATCACATTCCTACCATCCACTGCTGTTTACACCTTGGTAGGGATCATCTCTGCACACCCATCCACGTGATGCTACACTCAGGACACTAGGAATCATGTGTGCTGCCTGTAACCTTTACATGTCACACAGTAGCCAACAAATTAAAATGCTCCCAGCCAGCCCCAGGATGTTCTCGAACTGTTTCAGCTGGAATTTCTAGACATCTAATGCTTCCCTTTGTTGGTTTTCAAAGGTGTTTTAGTAGCCACGAAATAGAGACACACTTGTCTCTTGCTGCTATTTTGGACCCAAGGACTTACACTTATTAGCTGTATTTCAGTCCACTCAGTTGTTTTACCTTGGAAATGCTTAGCACTGCCACCCTGGAAGCATCTCGGGTTCTTTCTGTAGCTCCCAGCCTCAGCACTTTCTGACCCTGGGTCCTGCCAGTCTGTCATTTGTGGCACTGCAGGGTCTGCTTCAGTCAGTTGATTTTTCCTCTTGATTTCCTGTTCCTTTCCTGCTTGGTCATTTTCTAGTGGATGCCTACATGTCTGTTATTCCCATAATGCTCGAGCTTTGTTTTGACAAGCTCAAACTTGGGAAACAGTTTATTCTTTTCAGATTTTTAAGCTTTTAAGATGGGACTAGAACATTCATTTGGTGCCAGCCCTAACATCCAGGCACAGCCTTGTCATGCCCAGCGGCTGTGCTCTCAGACTCTCGTGCCCTGGCCTTGGCCCCCGCTGCCGGGTCTCTGGTGCCACCTCAGCCGGCCCTGCTGGCCTCCGCCCCCGACCCCAGCTCTGTGGCCTGGATCTTTGTGTGGGTTCCCCACCCCTGACTTGTGGGCTGGCCGGTCTCTCCAGAAGGGATTAGGTCCTTCCTCAGCAGTCGGCCAAGTTTTCAAGTGTTTTGGAGTTTCTTGGTCATCTTAGGTGGAAGCTTACCTGGGTCTCAGTTCCTCCTCTTAATTGGCTACTTAGTGGATTAATCGCTTTCCAGGGCCAGTTTAACTGTATCTCAGACATGCCCCACTCGAGTGCTTTGTACCTGAAACGTGCATCCTCGGGCGCTGTGTCCACCCTGTGCGTTTGTGGGCCCCCCGTGGCTGGAGGCAGATGGCCCCTGCCTGGGGATGTGGGCTGGGCCCCGAGGCCTGGAGACGGGCTGCAGGGCGTCCTCCTGACCACAGCGATGGGTTCACAGTGGCACGCTCAGCACGGCCACCAGGCAAGCGTGGGGTGGGGGCCGGCAGGACACCTCGCTCTGGCTTCGCCTGGACCAGGTCACTTTGCTCAGCTCCTCTGGCTCTCTGGCACGCCTAGTGGCAAAAGATCCAACAGCTTAATGTCTTTAAAGGGTCACCTGTGGTCTTCCTCCTGCATTCTTTCACCGCACGGCTTGTGCCGTTGCTTCCGTGTTGCTTGATTTTGGGGACGTAGAGCCCTGGTGTGGCAATGCTGCCCCAGCACCCCCACAGGGACCCCCAGGCCGGGGCTTTGCATTTTGCATGCGGTTTTGAGTGGCACGCTTGGATTTCTGGGGAGCTCGGCCCCGCCTCCCTCCTTTCACTGAGCAGCCTTTTTGTCTCAAGGTGGATGTTTTGGCCCAGGCTGGTTGTGTCGAGCGTCTCGGCCAGTCCCCACCTTCTTCATCTTCTCCTTCTCCTCCTTCCTCCACAAATAAGGTAAAACTCAGACTCAGTGCAAGAGGAAAGAAACATTTCAAACCCCTCAGAGTAACCCCCCACACCCCGCCCCGAGCCGGTGGCTCAGGGCAGGTCCCCGAGGCATTCCCAGGCCCACTGACACAGGATGCAGCCAAGGGACTGGCGAGCGTGTGGACATAGCCTGCAGCACTGAGTTGAGCTGTCCCTGAGACTTGGTAGGTGGGTGGACCTGTTCTGGACCCGGTCTGATGGAGGGTTTCCGCCCCCATTCGGGAGGGTTTGGCACCAGGAGGGGAGGGGAGCAGATGCTGACAGCACGCGGTGCACAGGAGAGGAGGGGAGCACCGCTGGCTCCCTGCGGGCAGCTGCAGTTGAGGAGCAGCAGGGTCCCGGACACTTCAGCCGGCGGAGGGGCAGATCGGCAGCGCCCGGGGTGCAGTCTGTGCTGGGCTCAGAGGAGCCAGGCTCCCTGCAGCACTGAGTCCCGCGCACAGGAGGTGACATTGCACGTGGCGGGGAGATGTGTCTTCCTCCTCCGTCTCGTGTCTGAAGGAATCAGATCTTCTGCGGAGTAGGAAGTGTCTAAGTGCCTACTGTCACCTCGCCGATCAAAAGTTTCCCTGTTAACACGACCTGGCTTGCACCGCTTGGAAGCATAGCCCGTCTGTACCATGAGCTGGTAGGTGTGGCGCTCCCATGGGGATTTACTCGAAGAACTGTTAGCCTTCAGCCTTGGATCCTGGACGAGTCCCCACGCAGTAGCCTCTGTGAAGGCCTCCTGTGTGCCAGGCGTGGTGTCCATGCTTTAGGGCGATATGTTGTTGAATCCTTGCAAAACCTTTACCAGGAAGTCAGTTGCTGTGCTCATTTTATAAGGGTAGAAACGTGAAGCGAAGGCGAGAACTGCCGAGGTCACATAGTCAGGCCGCGGTGAAGCTGGGGTGCGAGCCCAGCTGACAGCTCGGGCCTGCGCTCTCACAGCTGTGCCCACATGAGGCTGACTGGAGTCAGCTCCTGCAGCTCATACAGGGGACAGCGTCCTTAGCCTTGCAGGAGACCCCATATTGTGTGTTTGCAGGGGGCCAGCTTTCCTGGGCTCTCCTCTCAGGAGTTCCTACCCACTGGCCAGTCAGTGGGCTCCCGGGCTCTCCAGCAGGTGCATACCAGTCTGCGCTCTGAAGACTCGGCCTCGGGCTGCGAGTCCTCCCGCTGGAGACAATTTAGCAAGTCTGCAATGTAAAGCCCAGTAACTCATCGAGGGGGACAGGAGGGCGCTCACATCTGCGCAGTCACAGGCATGTTGGCCACATTTGCTCCTGACCTCAAGGAGCAGTTGATTCGCCCAGAAGCGCATCACCAGCCAGCTCTGGCGCAGGCAGGTGGACATGCGCTGGTAGCAGAGACCCCAGTGTGAGCGCTTAGGGGGGCACTAAGCTGGGACTTAGGAGCACGCCGCCTCAGCCTGTCGCGGCGGCAGGTGGTCCCTGGTCGCCCTTCTCGTGGCCCCGAATGGGCCTTCCAGAGTTCAGAAGACTGCGTGTAGAGACGGATTCTGCTTTTGGGGTTTCCCAACATTTTGTTAAAAGTTTAAGTGTCGGAATGTGAAGCTAATTTCATAAAGAGAAGCCTCGGCTTTGCCACTAACACGGCACCCGCACGCACCTGTCCATCTGTGCCTCTCTGTCTGCTCAACTTTCCCACACGACCTGCTGATGCTTTTGTGACTTGGAAGTCAGGTCACAAAATCTGCTTATGTCAGGTGCTGGAAGTGATTTGCTCTGTGATCACTGCAGTTTATTTTCATAGTAAACTGCACTCTAGTTAGCGTACATGAAGAAAAATATCAGTTTACCTCTTGGTAAAATGACATGAAGGTTAGACGTCTAACAAAGAAGAAAGTGCATTTCATACGAATAATCCAGAACATATTTAACCAAATTGTTTTAAGTATTGCGTCCTTGCCACTTTTACGAGGCGTTTCCTCCCAGACCAGAGCCCCCAGTGGGACAGGATGTCACAGTTCAGGCGACAAGGAAGGTGGCTTTGCACATAACAGAGAAGGATGTGAGCGAGGTGAGGATGTGGGCAAGTCGGGAAGACTGAAGCTTGAAGCAGCGTCAGTAGGGAGCGGTGAGGGTAAAGAACGTAAAGGGGGAGCCAGGGTCTTCATCAGGCTTAGGGACTTCGTCCCATGGGCCTGGGGCCTGGGGTCTCTGATTACATGCGGCTGAGGGGTTTGGTGCCATAAAAGGACGGAAGGAAGAGAAATGAAAGATGGCACCACCCCGGGGGTCTGGAGCTGGTGTGGGAGCAGAGGTGACGGGCAGGCGCAGCTGAAGGGACAGGGCTCCTGGGGTCGAGAGCAGAGGGGTCGGGCCCAGGCCCAGGCGTGGGAAGGGCGTGTTCAGAGGGAGGCAGAACGTGGCAGGCTGTGTGAGCCACTTGGTAGTTGTGATGTAACAGGGAGGTCCCCAGAGGTTGGCAAAAGGGGGACTAAAGAGTCAGTGATAAAAGAGGAGATTTCCAATTGGTCATGTTTGTAAAGATTTGCCAACAGGATGCAGGCTACAGCAAGAGAGGGAATGTTCCAGGGGAAAAAAAACACATACACAAAACAGCCAAAGTACCTTTTATTCTGTCAGGATTTTTTTTTTTTTTTTAGTAAAAAGTGTACTTTTTCATTGGTATCCATCCACTTGGAGCCTCTGAAATATGTGTTAAGGGGAAGGAGGTGACGGTGGGAGCCCCAAGGCCCCGCAGGTCAGGTATTTCAGCAGGAGGGAACGCTGGCACCCCTGGGGCTCGGTCCCTTGGGGAGCAGGCGGGAGGGAGCCACGCACCCCAGTGTGCTGCTGGCTCTAAACTTCCGGAGATGTTGGCAAAACATCAGTGTCCATCTGCGTGTCTGTACCATTTTATTACTTGATTTTAAGTCCTTTAAATCTGTGGCCAACCTCTCGGCACCCTCCTGTATTTGTCATATGATTCTTAGAGAATTGAGTGACACTTCCTAAAGTCACAAACATTTTCTCTTTTTACCCCTGATGACAGGTCAGCGGGGGCAGTGACCCCTGGTCGGCGTGGAATGCAGCCAAGCCCGGGAACTGGGACGGCTCGGACAGCTGGGGGGCCAGGCCGGAGGGGACGGCCGCCCAGAGGAACACTTCCAACAACTGGGACGCAGCCTTCGGCCACCCCCAGGCCTACCAAGGACCAGGTGAGGCAGGCTCTCCTGGGAGGCCCTCAGAGGTCAGGGTGGCCTCTCCCGGAGCTGCGCTCGCTCTCATGCACACAGCAACCTCCCCTCCTGCATCTAAATGAGGCGGTGGACCTTCTGAACCCCCCCCCCCCGCAAACCCCTCCAGCCCCTACATTCTGGGGCTGAGCCAGACAGTGGAGGGCCAAAGGGCGGCCCTTCTGGCCTGGCCACAGCACAGGGAGCCCAGACAGCTTGATTTGTTCATCCTCCCATTGCAAACTGTAGCTGTGAGCACATCTGTTTAAAACCTGAGACCCCAAAAATGTGCTTGCAGATCAAATGTGCTTCTAGTTTTTTTTAGATTTACTTATTTATGCATACAGGGCTGGGGTACAGGACAGAGGTGTTGGGGGTGAGAGGATCCACCAGACAGAGCAGGGAGCAGAATAGGCAGATCGATGAAGCGCACTGTTGAGGGGAGCAGCGGGAGACAGAGTCTGCTGCACCCCGTGGGTCACTCAGGGTGGGGCCCCAGCTCCTGCTGCAGTGGCTGTGGAGAGCCTCGTAGTCCTGCGCTTTAACCTGGTGCACGGATTTGCGTCTTTGCCCACTGGCCCATGACCTCTGAGTTAGCTGCCTTTCCTCAGCTCCCTGTCTTGAGAGCTATTCCCAGGAAAACCTAGGCAGAAGAGCAGTGCAGAGAAGGGGAAACAATTCAGAAGTCAAGAAATTGATATCTGCTCTGAAATCAGATGAAAAGCTGGCGGCCTGTCATTGTTTCTTGTCAAGGCCCCTCTGCGCCTCAGGCCGCCCGCCCGCCCGCCCCCTCGCCCCAGCTTGCTGCTTCCTTCCTTCCTTCCCGCCACCTTCTCCTCACCCAGGTCCCCTCACAGCTGTCGCCCCCCGAGCTCCCCCAGCTCCCTGATTTCAGGGCTCACGCCCGCACTGCTCCCTTGCCCGTCTGCTGTCTGGTTGCGAGCCGAGGCCGTCAGCAAACAAGTCACTGCTTTCAACCTGTCCGCCTCCAGCGACCGGCGATGACGACGACTGGGACGAAGACTGGGACGACCCCAAGTCGCCCTCCCCCTACTTCAAGGACGCAGACTCTGCCGAGGCGGGTGGCGCTCAGCGGGGGAACAGCCGGGCCGGCACCTCGTCCATGAAGCTGCCGCTGAACAAGTGCGTGGGAGTTGGCGGGGGTATGGCTGCGCCCCTCTTGAATGTAGCTGGGGCGCGGATTTAGGTTACTCTTCCACCGTAACGTGAGATAGCAGCTCTCAAACAATCTGCCGGACAGCTTTTGATGATGCCTTTATCGACTCCATGATGCTTTAAGATTTCATTGCAGGGAAGCTGGTGGTGACGGACGGCGAGCGGTGGCGTGGAGGGGGCTCGCACGCTCTGGCTGGCGCTCAGATGTCTTAGTGTTGATTGGGCTCTTGCCTTGTGCCAGGCCTTGTGCCGGGAGGTCGCGTGCTTTCTCCTGTGACTTCATGGCCCCTCATGGTAGCTACAGTCTCTGTTCACTGTGGAAAAACCTGAAGCTCAGAGCTGCCTGGGCTCACAGGTGCTAGAATACACTGGTCAGGCTGCAGCCCGGCCTGCCCCAGGGCCCCGTTCTCCCGGCGCTCAGCAGCTGTGCTCGTGGCTTAAGGCTTCGTTCCACTTTGGTTTCAAAAAATGCCTTTAACAGTATTTGCAGATGCCAGGGTGTTTTTGACAGCACTTAGAGATGACTGCTTAACAGGACAGAGCCGCCGGTGGAGAGCCCCAGTGAGCCTGTGGTTTACACCAGGGTAGCTTTGAGGAGGCAGCATCAGTGTTCATGGCATCCTCGAGAACCTGCCAGTTCTCTTCTCACAGTAGTATTAAAATTACTAAAAATACGAGTTGTTAGTGTTCCAAATTCCGGAATCAAAGCAGGTATCAAAGAATGCCAGTCTGTCTGGAAAGCCTCTGGCCTGCACACACCCAGCTGCCTCAGCCTCATTTTTCAGCCTCTCCCTGCTTCCTTCCATTGTGTGTCCAGGCTCAGTTGCACCTGGAATACTCAGGTTGACAGTGTCCTTTTTCTTAAAGATTTGAGGTTCTCAGTATGCAAGTATTTAACTCTCAGATCTTCAAGCCTCAATATAAAATAGATTTAAAACCCCTTTAAATGGAGCAAGCCTCTTAGCCCCAGCATGGAAAAAGGAAGTAGAGACTAGGAACGTCAGTGACTGGAGCTTTGGGGCTGCCCAGGGTGAGGTCCTGAGGTGCCAGGCCTGGCTTCGTGGCCTGTGCCCAGCTGCTCCACCAGGGGAAATGGGAGGACCTGCTTGAACCTTATTCTCCTCACCCCTCCAGTGAAGGTTGGCTCTACTAAAGAATTCTTTCTGCTGCAAAACTTCAGCGCGGGCTGAGATCGCATCAGCCTAGAGGGCGGTGTCTGTGCGGCCAGCTGGACCCGTGGGTTTCAGTTCCACTCCAGCCCACGGCAGAAGTGACTCACACCTGTGACGCTTAGAAAAACATTTAAAGTGTTGATATTTTTCAGCAGTTAATCCATTTTCTGTAACAGCTGATTTTCAGTCACTAACATGAGTCACATACTGAAAAGGAGATCAGAAATTGAAGCATTGCAAGACTCCACCTTGATAAGACTCAGAGAATTAATAAATTGCACTGCTCTTGGGATTTTGTTCATCGAGTGCCTCTCAACCCTGGAGTTTGCTGCACTCAGGGGACACCTCAGAAGGGCGAGGCCCGGCCTCTGCTCAGCTCCAGGCCGCTGGAGGCCTTGGAAAGCCCCACAGTTTCCCTTAGCACTTCCAGCCAGAGGTGTAGGCTTGTTGAAAGGCCCCAAGCTAGCCGCTCGTGAGGCCTGTGGGGCAGCTCCTCGTGCGTGCGTCTGCCGCGCCCAAAGGAAGGCGGTGAGGAGGCCGTCAAGGAGCGAGGAAACAAGTGCTACGTTGGCCTTCAATTGAGGATATGAATGAAACTAGATGCAGCAGGTGTGTGTGTTGGAGGGGGGGTTGGTAGGAAAAATATCTGGTTTTCTATTTTAGGTATTTTGCTTTCTAAAATGTTCCTTGTGTATCAAGAAAAATACTAAAACCCAAAACTTCTTTAGAAGTAGCCATTTGGCTGGCCACTTGCTATTCCAGCTTTTCTCCAATTTTGTTTCCTTTGCATGTAGATTTGATTTCTAGAGGTGGTCAGGCTTGTTATAACCCTTTGGGTCTCTTTGCTAAGGACGATGGTTTTTCTGATGTCTCATAAGCTGGTTCTGACTGCAGTTCCAAAGGACACTGGCCAGACCTGTGGCCTCCGGGAGGGAGGTGTTGAGTGGCAGCTTGAGTGTGGCACAGATGCCACATGTGGTGGTCACCTGGGGGCCACTCGAGCCCTGTGCCCGACGCTTTCCCAGAGCCAGCTGCTCGGGCCCACTCCTCACATTTGTGGTGGTAGGTGTTCCAGATCCGTTAGGCCAAGAGAGCACCTGTAAACATCACATATCCTGGAGGTAAACTCTCACCAGGCAGTTCAGTGAAGGGATGGATCGGCCGCTGAATGATCTGATTACACTAAGTTTCATTTACCAGAGTTTCCTAGTTCTCCTACACCCGAAAGAGCGAACAAGGTGAAAGCTGGTGTTAAATAAGTGTAGAGGTGACAGAATTCTTACAAGGAGAAGACGACACTGCTCACAAGCATGTATCTTCATGGCTAGGTTCCCTGGATTCGCAAAACCTGGAACAGAGCAGTATTTGTTGGCCAAGCAGCTAGTAAAGCCCAAAGAGAGAATTCCCATCATGGTAAGTTTTTTTCATTTTAATTTGTTTGCTTTGTTTCTCATCAGGCTCTCTTATAATACCTTAAAGCTGGAAAGTGCTTTTCAACAGTTCTTGCTCCACGTGACTGACAGTAGGTGTTAGTATATATTTTTTAAAGATTTTTTTATTTATACGTACAGAATTGGGGTGCAGGCCAGAGGTGCAGGGGCAGTGGGAGGATTCACCAGAGTGGGGAGCAGAACTCGCAGAGCGACGAAGTACACTGCTGAGGGGAGCAGCGGGCCGGTCAGGGGAGGTCTGCCGCGCCCTGTGGGTCACCTCTGGGGTAGGGATCAAACTCATGCTGAAGTGGCTTTAGCTTCCCAGTGCTGCGCTTTAACCCGCCCCGCACCCAGGGAGGGCCAGTGTTAGTATTTTAAGAGGACTAAAGCGCATATGTTGCTGCTTGTCATGGTATTGCCTTGCATTCTATATTTTATCTTCCAGAATATTAGTAACCGAACCATACTCTATATTCTGTACTAAATGTACTCCTCTACAGCGTCATCAAGTACTTTTTACAAGATACATTTAGCTAATAAACCCCATTCGAATGTTGAGGCCGCTGCCCATGTGGAAGACAGGCTCTGTGGGCATTCTCGGCCTTCCTCCCGCAGTCAGCTGGCACAAGGAGGACCACAGATAGCCGGACTAGTGACGCCACAGGGGCGTCTGGCATGAGACAGGTGCTCTGGTGTCTCCCGATTGTTTTATTGACGGGTGTCTGAGCGCCCCCAGATGACCCTCTGGTGGCAAGGCTGTGGCTGTCTCCTGACTGTGGAGCTGGCCTGTGCCTCCAGACGAGGGCAGACGCCTGGAGCGTGATCACGTGGACTCAGGCAGAAGGGCATCTGCAGCCCCACATTCTGGAGACTGGGCGAAGCTGCAGGGGCGATAGTGGACACTTTCTGTTACTTGTCTACATCTTCGAAGAGCTTGAAATCCTCGAAACTTCCAGACAGAGCAGCAGCCCTTTTGCCCCCGTTCCCTCAAAGCAGAGTTGGGAAAATTATCTTCTGAGTGGTTGGAGATTTAATTTTTTTCTTTTTTCAGACTTAAAAAAATTCCTGGGCCTATATCATTGTTCTTTCCACTAAATTTAAAACCCCACAGAATTAAAAGCCATGAGCCTGCCCTTCGGTCCCCCCGGGGGACTCTGTCTCAGGCGTGAGCATGGTGACCCAGAGCTGAGGGACCTGTGGTTTAAGTCTGAGAGAAAGCTGGGCCCACGCGCCCTGTGGGCCTATTTCATGGGAGAGAAAACTGGAGAAGGTCACTGAGCTTCAGAAAAGGAGAGTAAGAGGCACAGAAACCCTACCCACTAACAGAATGTGGACCATGGCCATCAGGAAGCTGGATCAGCTTCCTCGCCTGGCGAGGCCCTGGAGGAAGGTCCCCAGAGCCTCGCAGAGATGCCACCTCTGCAGCTTTAAGAGCGTTTCCCACCCGGGCACCCTTCTAGCGGCCACAGTCGCACCACCTCTTGTCCCAGCATTAAAATTCTCTGGGTCCCAGTTACCTTCCTGACCCACTGACCCCCAGATTTTCACAGCCCACCCCTCCTCTCCCTCCCTCCTTCTACCTTAAATTAGGACCAAGTGTTCAGAAAATGAAGAGTTCACGAAACTGGGAGGCATTGTTGAGCCGTCAGAGTATATTTTTGCGTTTTACTGCAGATCCATGAGAGTTGGAACTTTTAAAAGCCCTTCTTGTTATGACCATGCCAGCCAGGCTAGACCAGGCTGGGGAGGAGCTGTGTGCCAGCCGGCCTCCCCCAGAGGGTGCGGCCGTGCAGGCCACGCTGCCCCGGGAGCCGGCCACAGCAGAGCAGCGTTTGTGCCGCTGTCCAGAGCCGGGGCCTCCAGAGCATTTCTCTTCAGTTCTGGAAAGACTCCTTCAGGTACCTCACATCAGTTCTATTTACTGTTCCTCGTGTAACCAAAGTGTCTCTCCCCGGAATGCTGTGTAGATTGGCGATTACGGCCCGATGTGGGTTTATCCTGCCTCTACGTTTGATTGTTTGGTAGCAGATCCCAAGAAAGGCTCCAAGATGTACGGTCTGAAGAGCTATATTGAGTATCAGCTAACTCCCACTGTGAGTATCCAAGGCACAAAAACAGAATCGTGCTTGTATCATTAGCTGCAGTTTGCATTTTTCTTCCTTTTCTGGAACTGGCCTTGATAACTCTCTCATTTCCCCTTGTTTCGTAGAACACTAATCGATCCGTAAACCACCGGTATAAGCACTTTGACTGGCTATATGAGCGTCTCCTGGTTAAGTTCGGGTCTGCCATTCCAATCCCTTCTCTTCCAGATAAGCAGGTCACAGGTGAGTGTGTGACGCTGGACTCAGGGTGACATGTGTGTCCTCATGGCCGTCAGGTGGCAGCGCCTCTCCCCTGCTTCCCGGGGCCGGGTGTGTGGCTGTGTTGGCTCCACACTGCAGTGGGCTCAGAAGTCAGCCTCGGTGCCTCGCGGGAATGTTACAGAGAACTTTGTGTACATATCATGAACGCGAGAGAACCCACTATAATTGTATCACTCACCCTCTCCTGTAAAAGAAACGTGACTTTTCACGGGATGCTCCAGATCCAGATAGCCTACAATGGCAATAAAGTTGTGCACCCCGAGTGATGCCTGAGAGACTATGTGCCATCTGCCCCCTGCAGGGGTCACGTGTGCGGGCTCAGCTCTGACTGCTAAAAGCGACGGTCATATAAGCGCTCAGGCTGCCCTCGTGCCCGAATGGGCAGCCTCAGAGTAAGGACGTCATTCTCCATGACACTTTAAGTCATGTTTTCATTTGATGTTATTTTGAAAACTCCAACACCTTGAAGTCACCGTAGCAGCATGGAGAGCAGGGGGCTGCTCACCCCTCCCGGGCGGGGGTCGGGGGCTGGCCCCTGCGCTCCCTTCCTCGAGCGCCTCCCGTCTGTCATTCATGTCGCTTTGATCACAGCTTGCTTCGAAGATTGTAGATTTCTTTCCACAAAAACTCATTTGCAGCTCCGCTCCGCTCCATATTCCGCGTTTTCATCTGTTCCCAAGTTTGGCGTATCCTCGGCGACTTGACTGGCACGACACAGGCTGTGGGGCTTCTCGGGTTTCCCCACTGTCGTTCTGAGTCAGGGCACTCGGGCGTGTAAAGCCTCATAGATCACAGTTCTGCTTCTGTCCTTCGTTGTTGGCTTTTCTTGATTTTTTAAATTGAGGCCTGAAGCCAGGGCGATGGCACAGAAAAGCAAGGAAGCAGCAGCCCCTCGGCAAAGAAAGTCGCGCTTGATTCACAGACTGGGACTCGTGCCCAGCCCGCGCCGCACAGAGGCCACTTTATCCCCTGCCCTCGTTGGCCCCTGCTCGCGGGGCCGCAGGTGATGGTTATGTAAGCCCAGAGCGGGCACACAGAACCCCAAGGAGGTGATGTCGTGCCACGACTGTGGACTCGGTAATCAGGCCCGGAGAGTCTCGGTCGGCGTGGTTTGTGCATAGATTTTGCTCTTTGTGCACTGATATTGAAGGACTGCCTTTATTCCTGGCTGGAAGCCAAGAGTTGGTAAGAACCTCAGTGAGGTTCACTGAAAATGGGGAAATGAAAATCCCTCCTTCCCACAGTTTCCAGGCTCTTTGGAGCCTTGCAAAAACCAAAAACCTGAAGTTGGTTTGGAAATAAACCTGCTGTGTCAAAAAAGTTCAGGGAGACCAACAATCGCCATTTGTAGGAACCGGTGGGTGGGTCATAGACTTCCGGTGTGATCCCTCGCAGCCGGAGGGACGGCGCTGACTCGCGGGGTCTTTTCTGTCCGCCAGGTGGCAGCTCTTCCAAGGGACGAGTGTCTCCATGTGGCCATCAGCGAGAGCGCCGTCTCTGCCTGTACACGCAGAGGCCAGGCCTCCCACCCAGCTGGCCTGAGCTGCCGACCAGGGACATGGCCACGCGTAACCTTTGCCTGGCATGTGGGCCCGTGATCCTCTTACTCAAAGACATTGTGCTCGTGTGTACTCATGACTTCTGACGGGAAGTTCAGGCTGGTCCTTCACTTGCACACAGTGAATTATCTCCCTGAGCGGACAGTGGTAAGGGTCTGGCAACTGCCGGGAGGCAGGCGCCCCACCCCTCCGGGAACTCCCTGTGCGAACCCTTTGCAGTCAGCCCTCCGCCCCGCTGTGACCCAGGCAGCAACGGTTTTCTCTGTACTTGGGCCTTTTTCGGGGTGTCCCTGTGAGTGAAAGTGTGCAGTGCATGGCCTTTCCAGTCCGGCTTCTTGACTTAGCACAATGCAGTTTAGATGCCTGCACTGTCCTTCACTTCACGGCCGAGGCGCCCAGTGTATGGGGCACACCACGTTTGCGTGTGTGTTCAGTATTTGACAGACATTCGGGTTTCCAGTTTGGGGTGATTATAAAGAGAGATTCTGTAAACTTTGACATGTGCAACTTTGTATGAACAAAATTTTTATGGGTCACTACCTAGGAGTGGACTGACTGGGTCACAGGGTAGGTGTACAAACATTCATTTGATGTGGACTCTACCACTTGAGGGTCTCTGTGCACCCGTGAGTGTGTGCAGGACGGGATGAGGCCTCCTGCGTGACCACTTGAGACAATGGCCGACACCACGAGGCAGCCGGGGCCAAGGGGGCCCTGGACTGACTGTGTGGCCTTGGCCTGAGGCGGTCTGGAGCAGCTCGGGAATCACACTGAGCACCTGCACGGAAGGCCTCCCTGTGGGTGTGGCCGACATGGCCCCTCTCGCGCCCCGTGAGGCTGATGACCCTCTGTCCCCTGGGCCCTGCTCCTCCTGCCGCTGTCATGCAGCGGTCATGCTGCTCACTGCTGCTGATGCGGAGCAACAGGGCTGCTCGCCGGGCAGCAGAGTCTCGCCTGGCAGACCTGCTCTGTGACTCTTCCTCTCTCAGCGTGTCCCTGGGACGTGCTGGCGCGTTCTTGGCCGCCAGAGTTTGATGTTTAAGAAATTGTTAGACTTATCCACAGAGGCTGGGCCACTTTAGGGTCCCCGCCAGCATGGATGAGGGGCAGGGGCTCCCACCCTCACTCACACTTCCATGTGTCTGTTTCCTTTAGTTCAACAGTCCTCACAGGTGTGTAGTATTAATCTCGTCTTGGTTTTACTGTGCGTGTCCCCAGCAACCAGTGGCCTCAAGCGTATTTTCACGTGCTCATTTTCAGCCACAGACTTTCTGACCATTTTGTATCAGGTTTTCTGTTGTGGTTGAATTTTGAGGATCTTTCTATTTTCTGGTTAAATCCTCTGTTCGGTGGTGTGATTTCGCACTACCCAGGTGTGGCCTGTCTTTCTCATAACAGACCTGCACGTCTGCTGTTAGGATTTAGTGGGGAGCTGTGCTGTAGCTGACATACACTGTTTTTTAGTTTCTGATTTCCAGTTGTTTGTTGCATCTAGAGCTAAAACTGATTTCATGTGTTGACCTTGTATTTGTAACTTCCCTAAACTTAGAGGTTTCAGGAGCATAGTAGCCCACGTATGTCTGCTGTTCTTCATTTCTCCCTGTAATTTGGCTGATTTCTCCTTTTTAAAAAAGATATATTTATGTATACATATGAGAACTGAGGTATAGGCTAGAGAAGCAGCAGGCAGAACAGGCGAGGTCTGCCGTGCCGTGTGGGCCGGCTCCCCGGCGTCGCAGAGGCTGGCCTTAGCTTGTCACCAGCAGGGAGACCCATTTGATTTATATAGGTATGTCACTGTCTCCTTGGGCCTCCTTGGTGGCCTGGGGGTTAAGTCTCAGTGCTATGCAGCAACAGCCAGAGTAGATCCTCTCACCCCCCCACACCTCTGGCCTACACCCCAGTTCTTATAAACAAAATAAGTAACTTCTGCTGCCTGGAGAATCTGTATTTGTAATGTCTTGTCTTATTTTTAATTTTCTAAAATATGGCTCACTTTAGCTCTGGGAACATGGTCCTGAAAGCTGCTTTGTGCGCTGCTGTGTTTGTCTGCCAAGCTCAGCATCTGGGGACACTTAGAGATCGTGACTGTTACTGCCTTTTCCTCCCTCCGTTTGGGTCAGTTCTTCTTTTCTTTTTTTCTTGAAAATTAAACATTTTAGAGAAAATTTTTTAGCATCTCTGGAGTCTGGTTTTTCTTCACTGAAGGTCGACGTTTCTGGGTTGTGTGTGTAAACACCTTGCCTGCCTAAATCGCAGAAGCCTGTCTCCCTGAGCTCAGCGAGGGCTGTCTGCTTTGAAGCCTGGCCTCCGAAGCTCACCCCTCCTCCTGGCTAGGGGATGTGCCGCCCCACCTCGCCCAGGCAGGCTCTGGCCTCTGCCGTGCTTCCGCCTGTGGGGGCGCGTGCCGCGTGACGGTGCCGTTTCAGGCTAGCTTTGGCTTTTTCCTGCAGGGGCCCTTTGTTTCCCTTGAGCGTGTTTGCCGCCTGCCCGAGCTGGCTGGGAGGGTGCGGCGCCCCCGCCTCGCCCTGTCTCAGTGTTTCTGCACACAGCCTCCGCTGGGCCCCTGACTCCACCTGCCGCTGGCTGCAGGGGTCCGGGGTCCCCAGAGCAAGGGAGCCGAGCCTCACGGGGAAGCTTGCTCCTCCTCAGCAAGCTCCCCGCGTTTGGGGGGAGCAGCCCACTGCAGGCCGAGCCGCGTTCCACTGCCCTCTCCTGAAGCCCGCGGCCTTCGACGGAGCAGTCGTCTCCCCTGGCTGCAGCCGGAATCGCCGTCTCTGGAACCTTTGCATGATGGCAGTTTTGTTCAGTCAGGCTTAATAGTTGCAGTGTTGTGTCATGTATGATGTGGCAGGCTTAATTGACTAGTTTTCCCCTTTTAAAATGGAAATATCTCTCACTGAGCTGTTTCAGGATGGTCGTAAGTTCTGAGATAGCAGCTTCCACACCATATCTATAGAAAAACTGCTTTTTGTGTTTTTAGCTGTAGATTAAACCAAATGGACAGAAGTTTAGTCCTGAATTGCCTTTAATAAACTAAATTCAGATGTGCATCTGAGATTGTATTGCATTGAGACACACAGGAATTCCATGTGCTTTGTAAGAGTTACTTACTAAATTTCAATTCATTCTTTCTAGCTTATAGGGCTTCATACAGTCACACAGGAATTGGTTTAATGTTATTTTATAAGAAAGGTTTTCATATCGAGGGAAAATATTTGTCAAGTGCCTTAAGGACCCTTGAGGTGACCTCTCAGGGCCGTGATTGCTCGGTCACAGGGGCTTGCCCAGGTGGGAATTCCAGGGCCTATCCCCCCCCCCACCGCTGACACTCTGGCATCTCTGCAGGTCGCTTTGAAGAGGAGTTTATCAAAATGCGCATGGAGAGGCTGCAGGCGTGGATGAGCAGGATGTGCCGTCATCCCGTGATCTCAGAAAGCGAGGTTTTCCAGCAATTTCTAAGTTTCCGAGATGAAAAGGTACAGTATTTTATTACACTAGTCTTAGAGGCTACTGAGAACTGCTCGTTCACCCCCGGTTTATACCTGAAAGGCTTTCCATTGCTTCCCTGATTGTTTTATTCAAAGACAACAGGGGTGGGCCCGAACCCCGGGGCGCTGGTGCTGCTCGCCAGCGGCCCACCCACCCCCCAATCTCCCACCCCAGGACGGGCTGGCCCAGCTCAGCGGGAAATGTGCTAGCTGGGGAATTTCCCTAGATACTGTCAGAAGCAGGACAGACGCTCCTGTCCCGCAACGCTGCGGGCGATGGTCGTGTGAGTGGGCGCCGGGGCCAATGAGCCGGCCCCGCACTTGCGCCGCCGGCGCGACCGTGCCATGGAGGCAAAGCAGAGCTGGCATTGGACCGT